GTTTCAGGGAAACCCAGCTATGCTTACCTCCCCGGGATTGGCGCTGTAGGTGGAAGACTCTGAAGAAGAGGGGTATGGTCGCCCCAATCCTTAGAAACCGACAAGTTAGCTCGAACGCCCGGATGGAAGCGAGCGAATTTGGGTGAAGCTGCGACGAGGCCAGCCCCAGATGGCCGAAGACCCCGACCTGAAAATCGCTGAAGGGCAGCTGCAACCCAAGGTCCTTGAAGGCAATTTCATACATAGGGAATCCATACTCGGGGAACTCCGAGCAGATTCGTGTGGTGAAAGTTGGTCGAGTGACAACGAAGTTCTTCTGGAAATCGGACTGGCTACTGCCCGCCTCGAGAATGGTGTACGCCCTTCGACTACGTCGACTGTAGGCCAAAGCTATCCCTCTGGGCTCGGCACCCACCCATTCCAGCAGAGGGTCCTCTATGGTGTCAACCAAATTCACATTTTCATCAGCACTTTGTTCTTCCACCTCGGGGTGCCCTGAAGAGCACGGTTCGTCCGCCATGGTTACCTACAAAGCACGGGAAACCAATCAATTGGGAGCGAAACCACACGCTCGCCATAACGAACGAGATGAAGGGCACAATAAACCACGTCGCTCCATGCGCGACCACAAAGTGGTGTTTCGAAACAAAAAAGAGCAGTCACCTCCCCGACTCCCAGTCACCACGACAAGCTACAGAGCGCCTGAATAGGCCAACATCTCGACCACTCACGAACGTGTAGACCCAGGTTACGAATGTGGCGAGCAACGCCATGGGTCTTAAAACTAGAGCCATGAGTTCACCGAGCACCACCAAGAATTAGGCGCCCTGATTCATGAAGTCCCCGGGCAGCACTGCGAGTCAAATACCTAAACTATGCGTTTACCGGGCGCATACATGCGTTCGCCGGGCATAAACATGGATTTGTCGAGCTAAGCATAAATCTACCGGGCTAACCCCAGGCTTACAGTCTCTAAAACATCTGAAAACAATGAAAATCATGCATCACGGAGGAAAAACGAAGGAGACAAGGCACTTACTTGGAATCAGGAAGGTAATGTGATGACGGAGAAAGGAAATCAGCGACGGAGATCACGGCGGTCCTATGAGTATCTGGGAAGAACAGCAACAGCAGTAACAGAGTGCAGAGGAGAAGTGCGAACAGGGAAAACACGTTATGGGGCCCAAAACAACCTATTTATAGTGATGACGTGAAATACCAAACATCACCTCGGGGAACCACAAAACTTCCCTCCTTGACATGTAGCTCCTCTAGGCAATGATGACCCTATCGTCAGTAGGGTGGCGGCACGATTCCCAAGAGATACCTCGTGTGCCCGATGAACACAGCCCGTCGAGACCCCCGAACGCTCCTCGCGCGGCATCATCTCGTATGCCCGACACGAGAAAAAACTCCTCGAGTAAGTCACAAGAACGACATATCCTAGCCGGGAACGGGACCCCGCGATGCAGGCGACCTAAGATCAAGTCATGGCTCCTACTACAGGAACCACGACTTGGGGGGCTCCTGTTCTGGACTAGGCCAGGCTGGCCCAAAAGCAGTGTTGAAGGCCCAATCCAAACAGTCTTACAAAGGGTCACGCCGACCAAAAGGCCATACCCTTGCCCGACACTTTCTGCTAGTACGACGTCCTCGACTCCACGCAATCCTGCTCGACCTCAGCTCGAGCACCCCTCCTAGGTCAGACTCTATCAACTACGCCATCACCTGGATCCCGAAAAGACCGCGTCCTCGTCCATCCGTGCTTCACGCAGAACATCCAGGAAGGGGGCCACGTGCGGGTCCCCACTATGCACGTAGAACCTGGCAGTTCCTCCGTTGGGCCAAACCTGCCCGGCCCAATGAAGGAACCTTGGCCCAGCGCTGGGGGCTATAAATACCCTCTATTCCCAGAGGGTCAGGTATTCATTCTTTTACCCACACTCATACTATTGCCTGCTCGTTCTCTTACTTACTTCAGCATCGGAGTGCCTTGCAGGTACCCCCCCCCCCCACCTCGTTCAAAACTTCAGCTCGGAGCCAGCCGTGACGGTCTAAGTCTGATCAGGTTAGAACATATACGATAGGTACACAACTCAAAAACATAGAAACTATTGCAATGCTTTCAATATCAAAACACCAATCCCCCACAACAACGCCATTTTGTTCGAACTACAGTATAGTGGTAAGAGCAAAAGAAAGAAAGTATTTTTTTTAGGAAATTTATCGTCTCCACAGGGATCGGTGCGAGGCAAAGAATATTGTTCAACAATTTTCGTGTCTCTGAGCTTGGTTAAAATGGTTTAAGTAAAAACATATGAACAAGAAAATAAATTCATTCTTTAGAGAGGAGACACTTATCAGGCATAAATTTAAACTACTCTTCACAAACTTAAACCTATCGATCAATTGCACTCAACCTACAATAATTGTCAAAATCATCACGTATCTCTCACATCAGTGTCTATCTTTGAAACACCTACGAGACGTATCACAACTAAGGTTATATCTAACACAAAGTTGCGAGAACAATCGTATTACTCGCACCGGCAATGTCTCACACAAATCAATAACACAAAGGCATTAAACTTCGATACCCAGAGTGAATATTAGCTCTAAATCTATCTCTAGAATCTAGAAACTAATAGATATCCATCCCTAATCAGAATTTGTGAGGCATATGTCTATAACAACACAAATCTAAACATAAATAAAAAAGATTAAGGAAGACATCAAAATTGATTTATAAAGAAAGCTTTATACAACACCATGATCAATAAATATACATAGGTTCAGAGTAAGCTTACAAACAAAACCCAACAAATAGAGAAATACATAGAGAAGAGAAATGATAAACCAAAATCTCTCGGGTTGTCAACACCGATTGAAGCAAATCCACCTCCTAAACATCAAGATGTATGATCTATTGTTATTTTTGAGCTAATATCCATAAAGATTGTCTGGTGATGGAGTGAGAGCAAAAAATCCTCAAACCATACCTAAAAAATGATTTAAAAAAAAGAGTTTTTATGAAAAAATGAAATTTCGCGCTCGCTCAGCGACCATGGGCTCGCCCGGCGACCAAAACAACATTTGTTACTGCCTCTATAGTGCATTTCCACACTTTTGGGTCGCCCCTGGATCGCCCGACGAGCTCGGGGCAAAGCTGACAAAAATTGAAAAATTCAGCTATTGTTTCTGCCTTAACTTGAGAAACGTAACTCCAATTTATGCACGGTTGGAAGCGTTTGAAAGCTTATTCAATGCTCTATCTAACAATGACAAAATACTATTGCTTGAATACCTAAAAAAATGAGATAAAAACAATTAAACTCAATGATATTTACATGAAAAGGCAATATATACAATATAAGGTAAACTATATCAAATATACACTAAAATTGAGGTTTATTGACGAAAAACAAACGAATTAAGCTAATGAGTGCTAATTATTCACACTAAAAATAACTATAATTTAGCACTCAACAAACTCTCCCCAACTTAAACTTGTTTGTCTCCAAACAAGAATTAATCAACCTAAGGAAACAAATGTAATCGGCATATCGATGGTCAAATTTCATCTGGGGAAGACAACCACACTCGAGTGTACTCGAGTATACATAAAAGTTACATCACGTCACCCCATATCTTTTCAAGTCACATGTCAAAGAAAAATAGTGAAACGTTTCAATGATGAGACTGTATTTAATGCTTGTATTCACATCACACTTTGGCAAAATCAAAGTGGCGCTTGCTAGCCGACGCCTGGATAAAATTCCTTTGAGACCGACCATTATTATCTAAAGACTCCTCTAACATCAATCATGGACGACGAGTCTTAAGGGCAACTGATCTGTGTCGGCCAAAGACCTAGGATCCAATGCTCTGCGCCAGCCAGAAGCCCAATAGCACGAGACCCATTACATAGCCTACTCCGCCAGGCTCAAGGTATAAATACCTTCATAAAGGGTTCTAAGGTACACAATCTCTAATCTCCACTTTTACTACCTTCAAACGAACCTACTACATGTTCCACATTTCTTCTCGGTTGCATGTACGTCGAGGGAGAAAATGGCAACTTACCACGACACCCTTCGTTGTGTCGTCAGAAAATTGAGGTAATAATGATGTATAATAGGTTATTTGTAGAAGTGTTTCCTTTTCTCAAATATTTTTAGCCATAGTGCTTTGAGAGTATTCTTGAGTTTAGTGAGGAAATTGTTCTGGGTAAAAAATTTATTGTAAATTTATCAATAATTATTTTTCCTCTTGAGTAAATCATTCTTCTTTAAGAAGTACTCTTCTTGTTTCATAAAAAGTGTCTTATTTGCATTTTTTTCTCTGTATTAAAATAATTGTCTATTTATAATTTCAATATATCATTTTCTTAAGAATGACACCTTACTCAAATATGACATTTTTTATGAAACAAGAGAAATAATTATTTTAGTTTAGAGTTATATCAGTGTAAAGCTCTTTGAAGATTAAAATAAATTACTGTTTGATTTATGAGTTCCACCCTCACTTTTTTTTTTGCCAAACTGACTAAGATTTTAAAACCGTATCCTCAAAAATGCACGGTTCATCCCATCTTTTACGAATTTTTACCAAACAAAGTAAAACAGAATGATCACATTGGTCTGTAACCCCTAATTAAACTGCATTCAATTTGAAGTCATTTAATCAATGAAAATGTATTAAATTTAATCTCATACTACCTGAATCCATCAATTCAACCTAATTAGTATTTTGAATTTGAAAGTCTTAAATAAAAATGTAAAAGTAAGTTTACAATTTAAATTCAGAATTAAGTGAATGATTACCCGGAATAGTAAGTAAGTAAGTAAATATAGAAAGTCGCGTTCCATTTTGGCAATTAATCCAAATGGCAACAACACAACGCACATAGAGATAAAGTAACCCAATAATTTCTCTCCACTTTCCTTCCATTAGCAGCCATAAAAAACACTGACACAGGAAAGAGCAACGAAACAACAACAATGGAGTGGATGATGCGAAAGACCAAAACGAAGAAGAAGCCGCCTCGATTGGAGCGACTCAACGCCAAAAAGAACATCAGTTACCAACTCCCCGTCACCACCACCGTCCCATCTCCAACTCCATCTCCCTCCGACGAAGAAACCAGTCTCCGTGTATTGGGAATCGACGGCGAATTTGACCGTATCTTTCAGAGTTTGGGCCTTTCTGGTCCTGAGGATTTCTCTATCCCAACGCAAGATTGGGAAGCGCGGAAGGTTCGCTCTGCTAATCTTGCTTCAATTTCAGTTTCTGAGGATTCTGCTGTTGTGATTGTTGGGGATTCTCCTTCTTCTTCGGGGGAACATGGTGTTAGGGGTGTTGTTGATCCGCTCAGAAACGGTGAAAGGAGTGTGCTTTTTACCGATTCGGGTTCTTTCACTACTTCGCATGATTATGATAGTGATGGTGGTGGGGAGAGAACGGTGTTTCCTTATGGGTGGCTTAAACCCACTTTTTCTTCGTGGCAAAAGGGTGCCATTCTGGGAAAGGGTTCTTTTGGAACGGTTTATGAATGCCTCACCGAGTAAGTACTATTTCCTTATTGTAAGGCGAACCTGAGTTTATTGTCATCGAGTGCTTACTAGTTTGATAAATAATGGGTTGCCTTGTTTTGACTGACGAAATATGCATGTTTTATTCTTGCAGGGATGGATACTTTTATGCGGTGAAAGAGGTGTCTTTGTTGGATGATGGTAACCAGGGAAGACAAAGCATTTTCCAACTTCAGCAGGTGGGAGGAGTTAGTCTTCAAATTGGATTTCATCAGATGTTCATTCCATCTTATATATTAGTAATTTTTTATGCATTATCTTTCTTAACTTCTTTTCAGGAAATATCTCTTTTGAGTAGGTTTCAACATGAGAACATAGTTCGATATTATGGCTCAGACAAGGTATGTTCTTATCTAGTGTACAAGCCTATTTTATTCTGGTAGAATATGATTCGATTTTTATGATTGAGGAATTTTAAATCAGCATTTTGTAAGTGTGGTAGCATTTCTTTGGCGGAAAAGTCGCTTTCTTCATTCAGCATCTTGGAAATTATGATAATCCTCAGATACATTGTCTTTCGTAAGTTTTGTTTACTGTGACGGGAAGAGGAAATGATATATCTTTGTAATCTTTGTAATATTAATTGGGTCTCTAATTAGATACCAGAGTGCTATTTGAAGGAGATACACATTGTTCATATTATGGGTTTTCCCTGCTACCTTAATTTTTCCATTTATAAAAAATAGTTTGATTTAAATAACTGAATCTTTTTGTTCTTCGAATTCTTTTTAATGATGATTAACAAATTACTATATAATGCCTAGTTACATATTTTTCATGTTTATAGATTGTGCTTATTGTTAGTACATATGTCTTTGTTTAGTTATCCATTTCTTTAAATTTGGAGTAAATTCTGATTTTAGTCCTCAAATCACAATTATCAAAAATTAAAATAGCTCAATGGTTCAAGATGTCACGTGATGATCAAAATTCATTTGAGGACCAAATTGATGTCACCGATCTTTTGTAAACCAAATTGATATCCAAATGTTTTTGAGGACCAACTTAAAAATTTACTCAAATTATTTTTCTGTCTAGTTCTGTTCACTTAGCAGCAATTACGTTTCTAGTGTTTTTATCTCCATCTCTTTGTTATTTATATATTTATGTTTTGGATTTCTCAGAATGAAAGCACACTGTATATATTCCTTGAGCTTGTGTCAAAAGGGTCATTAGCCAGTCTTTATCAAAGCTATCACCTAAATGATTCTCAAGTTTCTGCATACACAAGACAGATTTTAAATGGCTTGAAGTATCTTCATGAAAATGATGTGGTCCACAGGTAACATGGGTGGGATTTGTTATCGTTATGACATAAATTTTAAGCTTAGTGTCATTCATGATTTTCAAAGTCTATTTATGTCTTGAATTTTTGGTCTTGTACCCCATTTTAATTTAAAACTACATCAACCCAATAATTAGCATCCAGTAAATCTTATCGCAGTGAATTTTTTTTCTGATATGAAAATGTACAACAGTGAATATTTTCCCCCTCTGATATGGAGTGTTTGGTCATTGATTTCTGATATATCTTAAATTTATTTTTATTTGCTGTGTGTCTGCACTCTAATCTTTTCGATCCAAATATTGCATTTTAAAGGGATATCAAGTGTTCTAATATACTGGTTGATGTAAATGGTTCAGTCAAGCTTGCCGATTTTGGGTTAGCAAAGGTAACGACAAAACTGAATTTCTCTATTCGGAATTTTTGCTAATACACAGTCCAAATGCTGGCTGCTCGAACTCATATAACTCATAATTTTAGTTCTCTTACCTTCTCAGGCAACAAAATTAAATGATGTTAAATCCAGCAAAGGCTCCCCATACTGGATGGCTCCTGAGGTTTGCCTTTGGCCTTGTAGAATCTTTTTAAGATAATACTTTCAAAGAGATGAAGTAGAATGAGATAATGTATTAATATGACTATCTAATTCATTTGCTCCTCTTTAACACATCCTGAATGTTGACTTAATACCATAAAATTTAACCATCCATAAATTAGTCTATTGCAGTATATATATGCTTCCGTTCATTTTCCTGATAAATGAATTTTTATACAAAGTGAGCTTTTTAAATTTTGACTGATTTAACTTTGAATTTTTTGACCATAGGTTGTTAACTTAAGAAACCAAGGTTACGGGCTAGCGGCGGATATATGGAGCTTAGGATGTACGGTTTTAGAGATGTTGACGAGGCAGCCACCTTACTCTGAATTAGAAGGAGTATGTAACACTTGTTATAATTTTCTTAAGTTTGTTACTTTCCCATTTTCCTTGCTGTTTTTGCTATTCCATTCCTTTGAATCATCTTATGATTATTTAATGTTTGGAATTTAGTTTAGATATACTAACTGTACTTGCTTTTCCAATTGGATAATGGGTGATAATATCGATATATTTATTTTTCTGTCAATGCAGATGCAAGCAATATTTCGGATTGGTAGGGGTGAACTTCCACCGATTCCTGAATCTCTATCTAATGATGCCCGAGATTTCATTCTTAAATGCTTACAAGTTAACCCAAGTAAACGCCCAACTGCAGCTCAGCTATCAAATCATCCATTTCTAAGGAGACGATTAAGTGCAGGTTCTCCACGTATTAATAGTATTGTTCAGCCTTAAATGCTCTTGAACACTTCCTATATGACATTGAGAAGGTCAAATTTTTCCTCTATTTCTCAAGTTAATCCCTACACATCTTGAGTTTAGACCGGTGAAACGGTGAAAATATCCATGAAAAGTATCATGGGTTTGCGCACAATATGTACTGGAGTTGGACCTCAAAACTCTCACTGGTTGGCTTATCTCTATCACCTCCTGTGTTGGACCACCACGTCGATCCCACGCTGAAGAACAAAAGCAAGAGTTCTAAGAAGCTAAGTTTTCACCTCTATGTCAAACGAGAAGAAGCAATGGCTCCTTATCTTGCAGTAAGGACCTTCTTATGACTGGAGGGGGGAATCGGAGAAGTAAGAAGGAGATGGACTTTTCAATTCCAATCAAGTGCTCTTTCCTGCAGTATGCAGTCAACAGAAGATCGCAAATTTGCAATGAACCTGGACAATTGGTCATTTGGAACAGAGTTATCGAAACTTGCAGTCATATTGCTTCTACCATTGCTTTTCAAGTCGTAGTTCCAATCCTAAAGCAATGGTTATTGCATTATCTGCCCATATACTCACTTGATCCAATCAAGAGCTCATGTTCATGGAATTGTTATTGCATGGAAATTCTACATTCACTAGCATTTCAAAACGGTTGGCTGGTTGCTGATATTAGGTCATGAAAGATGCTGCCGCTACTGTACAAATGTTGTGTTATCTATGCCATTAGAACGTGAAATTGTACATGATTATTTGTGTGCAATTAAACTGTATATAATTGTAGCACTTTGTTTTCTAGGAAACTACAATAACTTTATCTAGTTTGTTTTTATTCTGTGAATTGATTCTTGTGTCTTAAGAATGCAAAAATTGTTCTCTCAAATGTAGGTGAACCTTAAAGCATTTGTTTTTATATTTTTCTTTTGCAAGCTTATATATAGTGAATAGAGGTGAAGTTAGTGACATGTGCTTGAAACTCAGTTCCTCTCAATCTATTTTCTCTAAACAATAAAACCCAGCCATAAGATTAATCTATCGGTCAAAAAAAGATTAAGAGTCCAGATTATTAAAATAGAATCTAGTGCACAAAACAGAACACAGTCCAATAATGCATACCAATATATGTTAGTACCTAACAGAATTCCAATCTAAAACTTTGAGAGGAATATATTCTCAAGTTCCAAGCCTTCGCCAACTAAGTTGTAAGATTATTTTAATGGTTTAATTTTATTGTTGAGAGAGATTAACAGAAAATACTGATTGGGAGGATCTGGTTTCCAGATACTTGTTGTCTTAGCTTCATGTTATGGCTAATATTATATTAATTTGTGAGTCTGACTTGGTTTGCTGATTTGCTAGCTTTTGCTCATTTTTCAGTCTTGTACTATTTCATTTTCTCCTCTTGTTATTTTATTTATTTATTTATTGCTAGATGCACATGTCCCTGTGGTCTGTTGAACTAAATTATTGGTGAATTATTGGATACCACGGACATCATTATGACAGAAGTTTTTTTTTTCATTTTCTTACAAGATTCAGATTGAATAATGATGATTTTTCACACTAAACTATATGCAGCTTTAGGCTTGAAGACCTGATACAAGTTAATCCAAGAGTGAGCATAATGAGTTCAAGGTTTGTCTTGTTTCAAACATCAAGATCTGTTATAGCTTAAACTTTTTAACTACAAGTTTAAAAAGAGATTACAAATCTCATGCATGGTAACCAACTTTTGGATCTTAATTTGCAACCTTCATACATACACACACACTACACTACACCATCATAATATGCCTCTAACATTACATATTACTGTTGCAATTGCTTTGTTATATTCTTTTACATCTTATGCAGCTGAGAATCATGAAAGCTTTATTCAATGCTTTAAAAGTTATTCTAATTATAACTACACTTCAATCTCTAAGGTTGTGTTCACCCAAACACACTCCTCATACTCATCTATACTCCGATTTTCCGTTCAAAACCTTAGATTCACATCCAACACAACTGCAAAACCTCTTGTCATTGTAACACCTCTTGAAGTACTAGAAATTCAAGCCACTGTAATTTGTTCCCAACGCCATGGTATGGAGATTCGAATCCGAAGTGGCGGCCATGACTATGAAGGTCTGTCCTATGTTTCTAATGTTCCATTTGTTGTTATTGATCTCATAAACCTTCGAGAAATCCAAATCGACTTAGAGAATAGCAATGCGTGGGTTCAAGGAGGGGCAACGGTTGGCGAACTTTTGTACAAAATTAGCCAGAAAAGCAAAACTCTCGGCTTCCCCGCAGGTGTTTGCCCTACTGTTGGTGTTAGTGGACTCATCAGCGGTGGTGGCTATGGTTTCCTGATGCGTAAATATGGTCTTTCGGCCGATAATATACTTGACGCTCACATAATTGATGTGAATGGTAGAGTTCTTGACAGAGAAGCAATGGATGAGGATCTGTTTTGGGCTATTAGAGGTGGTGGAGGAGCAAGCTTTGGAGTTATCATAGCATGGAAGATAAAACTTGTTCATGTTCCATCAACTGTGACATTGTTCAATGTTCCTCGGACATTGGAACAAAATGGAACCAAACTTATTCGTAAGTGGCAGTTAGTGGCAAATAAGCTTGATGAAGACTTAAACATTAGGATCATTTTGGAGAGGGCAAATTCAAGTACTCCAACAATAAAAGTCACATTTGAATCCTTGTTTCTTGGAGGTGTAGATAGACTTATTCCTCTAATGGAAGAGAAGTTTCCAGAGCTTGGTTTGGTTAAAGAAGATTGTAATGAGATGAGTTGGATTGAATCAGTTCTCTACCTTGCTGGTTTTACAAAGAATGAACCTCTTGAAGTTTTGTTGAATAGAACTCATGATGGTGTGTTGTTTTTCAAGGCAAAATCTGATTATGTTAGAGATCCAATTCCTGATATTGGATTTGAAGGGTTATGGCCAATGTTTTATGAAGACGAGGCGAAGGCCGCAGTGTTGATATTCACTCCTTATGGTGGCAGAATGGATGAGATATCGGATTCGGAAATTCCGTTTCCACATAGAGCTGGAAACATTTACAAAATTCAGCACTTGGTTTTTTGGAAAGAGAAAGGTGATGAAGTAGAAAAAAGGCAAATAAATTGGATGAGAAAACTTTATAGTTATATGGAACCTTTTGTTTCAAAGTCTCCAAGAGCTGCATATGTGAACTATAGAGACCTTGACATTGGAGTGAATAACATTAATGGATTCACAAGCTATAAGAAAGCTAGTATTTGGGGTTTAAAGTATTTCAAGAACAACTTCAAGAAATTGGCAATGGTTAAGACCAAAGTTGATCCTCTAAATTTCTTTAGAAATGAACAAAGCATACCTTCTATGTCTAGTTTTGATAACATAACAACAATGCATAGTAGTATATTGCCTTGTTTAGAAGGGGTGCAATTAGAATTTCCTAGAGCAGTACATGCCATAGTGTAAAATAAGTTACTTTGGGGTATTTTATGTGTATCTAATTTGAAATGTTTATGAACTCAATCTTGATGTCAACCTCATTTAATAATTTTGTTTACCTAGATAGGTATTATTTCATGTCTGTTTTGAAGTTTGTTTGGGCAGATTTACCTAGATAGGTATTATTAGATGAGTTTGTTGTAACAAACTGAATCATGGAATTTTGATACAAACCATGGAAAATGATTTATGATAAATTTTGAATTTAGGAGTTGTTTAAATTCTATGGAATTTTTAAAAATGCCCTCCTCGCATCGTTCGGATTTTAAAATCCAGAGGCACGTTAAATTATAAGAGAGTTTAAATTCATCCAAAATAGTGTCGGAATTTCAAAATTCAGATGTACCACATATTACACGAGCTCTCAAATTCATTCAAAACGTCTAAAATGCACACAAAAAATCCAGATTTTAAAATTCGGATGCAACGCATATAATAGTTGAGCTCGAGTTCATTCAAAAAGCCCAAAATGCACCAAAAAAAATCATGTCCCAAATTAAAATTTTGTATTTGTCAGAAATGTCTTTTTTCCTTATTCTAAAATGTTAATATTCTAAATGCAATTTTATACGGAATTTTGAAATTTGAAATCCGAGCGTATTATATATGATGAAAATAATATACTATTGTCATTAGATGAAGAATCCACAATATTGAGTGTCTATTTGTATATCGAGTGCATATGAATTTCAATCTTCAAATAATGCGAAAGAATATTTTCAATTTTTTATAGGATTTAAGAGAATTATTAAGGATGCAATGAACATTGTCTATTATTATAGGCAATTTTTCATTGCACCCTTACATAGTGGGACACACCTCCGAAACCCCAAAATATCCTTGGGTTTATTCGGAGATACATCTGCGAACGCACCAAATGCTATATTTTGTCAAAATTTTCAAAGGTTAATTTGGAGATATATCTCCGAACATATCTCTGAAGTCATTTTCCAACAATTTCATTTAGAAGGTTTTTTTAACCACTCAATAATATTTTTGAAGATGTATCTACCTCACTCTTTAAACTCCTTCCATAATCAAAAACCCTTAAAAAAATTCAATTTCAATCTACTTTTCAATTCCAAACCAAATTTCTTACATTTTATCACATCAAAGGAAGCAAAATAAACTGTAATTTAAGGTAAAGTTCTATCATTTCATCCTTTATTGTTTGCATTAATCTTGTGTTTGAGCTGAAAAATGTATGCTTTGTCCAGATATACATATCCGAACTCACCTACCATGATTTCGAATGTGTATATCTGAAATCTTTGTTTTCCATAAAATATAAAACCCAGCTATAAACACGAGTAATCGCAGAAAAACACTTACTTGACCAATGTGTGAAACTCATGATATAACTCATTGCCTCGGTCTCCATGCAATGATGTAGTTATCAAGCTTTTCAAATATCTATTCCCTAGGTTGTGATAGATATGCGAACAAATCTGTGTAATCCATTGCATTAGTCTCCATGCAGCAATGTTGTTATCAAGCTCTTTTCAAATATATATCCCCTAAGTTGCGATAGATATGCAAATAAATCTGTGTAATCCATTGCCTCAGTCTGCATGCAGCGATGTAGCTATCAAGCTCTTTTCAAATATCTATCCCCTAGGTTGCGATAGATATGCGAATAAATCTGCGTAATTCATTGCATCAGTCTCCAGGAAACAATGTGTTATCAGACTTTGTTTTATTCATCCTCTAGGTCGCGATGAATAGACAAAATCAAATCAAGCATTAGTAAGTCAACTTTTTCAAAACTTATAAATATGCAAAAAATCTACAACCTCTCTTAGATACTGACGTGTTATCCGCGTTGTGTCTAAGTTAAATCAAAACTTTATTTCAAACGCTGGTAAGATGATGCATCATCATCTATACCTACTCTTCATATCCATGGAAACGATGTACAATGTATCCTTATAATTTTTCAACTTATGTTGTTTACCTCCTGGGTCATGGTAAATACGTAAACATTACGATCTCTTTTTCTAGGTATTGACGAGTTGTCTGCATCGTCATAACTAGGTCAAACTTACTCTTCAATCATATCTCTCTATTTCGAACTCTGGTAGGATGATACATCATCATCTTTGCCTATTTCTTTTATTCAAACCCTGGTATGATGATACATCACCATCTTTGTCTATTTCTCAGTGCTCTTAGGTATACTATATCAGTGTATCCTTACTTAATAACCATTGGTCAAATTTTGGGGTCTTCCATTATTTAATAACCCTCCGATTCAAACGTGTGAGACCTGCGTATTCTCGCACCATTCAATCAAAGAGTGATTAAATAGAGGTAGCTGTCATACCCCAAATTTGTTCGCTCTTTATTTCTACGGTTAAAAATATTCTTAAACATTGATTTTATAAATATTCCTTGATTTTTATAAATATCCGCTTCCAAACCTATTTAAAAATATAATAATTTATTTCAAGATTTATTTGAATTTTTTAACAAAAAAAAACCTGCTCGTCTTCATATACTTTCAATTGACTTTTTATTTCGAATAAATAAAATAACATAATTGATAAGAGGTAAGGTTTGAGAACACAAGGTCACAGGTTCAAACCCCACCTCTTCGACTTTTACAAATTTTCTCATTTTTTATTTTTAACTTTATTTTTGTTTTATTTATATTACGTTAAATAAATAATAATCACAAAAATTGCATTTTGTTAATTTTTATTTAGTAATTTTCGTTTTTTAATTTATGCATTTTTTTAAGAATTATTAATTCTTCATTTTTATGCATTTTTAACATAAAAATATACAAAAATATAAAAATATTCAATTACTTTATTTAGTTTTTATTTTTGGACATTCTTGATATAATTGGCTATTTTTGATACAAAATCAAAACGAATTAAAGGAAAATTGATTTCTTAATCAATGATTTAATTTTGTTTATCTTTTTGTTGCCCTAAAAAACCAATATAAATAGAGAGACAATTTTCACATTGGAGAAGAGGAATTTTCACACACTCTTGCACATAGAAGCTATTTTTTCACAGTAAATACTACAAAAACTTTCATCTAAGTTTTCACTGATACACTCTTAGAAAACTAACGTGTTGTTGTTTCCACTTTTGATCTACTTAGAATTTCATTAGAAAATTGACATACTGATTTTTACTAATCTTGGTGTAGCAGTAGAAATGTTTAAGACTAAGCCATTGGATTGACTAGACTTATACAGATCAAAATAAAAATCGCCACCGCGCTTTATTGTTTCCAAAGGAATGGGAAAAGAGCGAGTAACCCAAAAAGAAGGGGAAAGATTCAAGGTAAGGGGGTTGGTTATACAAAGGGAAGATATTAGCACCCTAAACATCTACGGTACTCCACATGAACCTCTTTGAAAAATCTGTATATTTTGGCTATAAAATATTGTATGTAAAATAGATGGTGGAGGTGAGAAAAGAAATATATTTTTTTATGATTTTTGCACCCGTCGCGGTTGCGAATCTTTAATACATACGTACTACCTTTCGTACAATAGGGGATCAGGGTACACGTAGTTCCTCTTTTGAAAATTTTAAAACACAACTATGTTGGTTGATTTTATGAGATAAGACATCATCGTCATTGTCCGTGTGGAAAAACATACTTACTACCCACAATCATGAGAAAAGAGAATTTGCATCATTTCAAAGTGGAGGATATGGCTTGGATTTTAAAATCAACAATGTCTCACTCAACACCCAAGTAGAAAATATCTCTCATCACTACATATTATAGAAGTATAGTTGTTTGCATCACTACAAGGATTGACAAGAGTCTAATCTTTTGAGAAAGGTTTTAAAATAAAAAGCCAAAGTGGCAAAATGGTTTGAAATGAGATTGATTGACTTTTAGTCTTCTCACAAAAATGTCAAGGTATTATTAAGTTGATTGAAATTTATTTATGAAAATAGTTTTGAAAATGCATAGACATAAGTCCAAGTTTATTATGAAAGTGGTTCAAATTTAAAAATAAGAAGAGTTTTCAAAAGGAGGGAGAAATTTTTTGAAATTAAAGAAGATGGGAGGAGAAGAAGAGACTATCCTAAATCATAAGGTAAAAGCTAGGGATAAGAACCATCTAACCAACAAGAAGTCAATACTTGATATTATGAGTCAAGATAGAATTTCCATTCTTTGGATTGAAACCAAGCAAGCAAAGATACTAGACCTCTTGAGGGAATCAAATTTCAAGTGTATTAAGTCTTCACAAAAATTAGGAAGAGTAACGGTTGTATACGGGTGAATTCCATATTACAAGCAAAGAATATAATCACAATAACCTACACACAAAACAAACAAACAACCCAATGTCTTGAGGTAAACCTCAAGAACTCCAGACAAAATATCAATCAAGGTCACAAGGTCTTCAACATAGGCCAAAGTTTCTAATCCTAAGTCCAAGAAGTCCAATACTCCGTAATGCCAAGGATAGTAACAAAATAGTCCAAGTATTATTAAAGATTTTTATGGTTTATGTTGATTATTAGGTATCTTTAACAAGAAAAAAAGAAGCAAAAGTGAGCAAAATAAAAATAACAAGAATATAAAGGGGCTCAAGTGAGCAAAGATGAAAAATAGCATGAAATGAAAATGCTAAAGTAAATGGTGCATAAAATAAAACAACATAAAATAAAAACATAAAATAAAGTCAATTATTAGTAATTAGTGGTTAGTTGGATGACCATCTTGAAACTTGCATTTGGAACTCATTAGAGGATTGGTAGAACCAAAGCCTCCATACAACGAGTTGCATTTGCTTTTTGTCAAGCATATCATCCATTTTGGAATCCTCAAAAGTACCCTTTAATAATCAACGATGTTTAAGTGATCAACGTTGACCAAAAGTGATGTAGATCCATTAGAGGATTGGTAGAGCTAAAGCCTCCACACAATGGATCTCAAGGTTATTGAATCAAAGAGATCAAATTAACATACTTGAGCTTGCAATT